TCTAACAACACATCGTTCAATTTTTCGAATCGTCAAAGATATAATTCAAAGTCAGTGTCGAAACGTCATAGATGATAATAACGCATATATCTTTTGTCACGTTTCGCTATTCCTACTTCAAACTCTCTCAAAAATTCGATGCTCCAAGAGGACCAGCAGGCATGTGTTGATCGGAACCTGTGTCAATCTTATGTCAAAGCAGATCGATGGTCGTCATCAACCTAAAACGATACATGTGTGTACGTCAGCTATACTAAGTGTTTACGTTGCGTTCATTAATTCAATGGTAGTAATCTATTCATCGACCCGTTACAACCTATGCAATCTTTGAAAATGAAGATAGACGCGGATGCAAACTATGCTGTACATTTAAAACATCCTTTCTCATCTAATGGCATGCCACCGCCTTTCGCAGTTCCGGAGCGTTAGGACTGAAAGAGGAGAAGACGCTGTTTCTCATAATGGAGTGTGATACCGAACTTTGCTAGCGATGTCTCCCTCTGAGACTTGAACGATCAGTTGGAACTTGGAATGTGAAAATGCATAATTTTTCTGATGCACTTTTGTTTACCAATTGCAAACGTAAGGTATCGTTATGTTCTGGCGTAAAACATCACGATGATTACTTATCAGTCAAATTCAACGATATCCTATGCTACAGAAATCTGAGTGACGCTGCTGAATCAAACAGAAAGCCAAACGACTCATTTTATAAAAGCGCCCGTTTTAAAGCAGATTTACGCTCTCCGAAGAAGTCACAAATAGAACGACATGTTAAAGGTTTTAAATTAATTTCAGAAATGTTTGATAAAAATGAATTTATATTTTACGCAATCTACGCTTAAAATAAACTGAAATTTATTAACTAGTGCGCGGAGTCACCGTAAAATTCCGATCAACAACCGTCCAATCATGCGATCAACCTCCCCCTAAGAAAGGCGAAACTTGATGCATTTGTTAGTTTGGATGAAGAATCTTATTGGATACGTGTTTGTCGTCCAAATTCAAAGACTCGACGGATTCAGTCTGCCGGTTGTAGAAAGGCAATAGCTGTTTAGATGAAACATGGGGACAAAAAATTAATACACTAGGTGAGATGGTGAGGTACTGTTCTTAGAAGAGTGAAAATCCGTTGCAACGTCCCTTTTCAAACGCCAAAGGCTTACTCTACAGACACAGCGCCGATTTAATCATAACTGTTCAGGCTAGTTCAGTCGGGTGGATTTCTTTCTACCATTTTCCGTCGCCATCAAACACGATCTCGGACTATTTAAACTTCTCTACCTGCTCCACTGCTTCTTCATTTATTTGAAGAGAGCAGTGGCCAGGAGAAAGCACTTTAGGTACGTCTACCATTACCGTACTCGGCTGCGAACCATTCCAGAGAGCACTGCACATCAGTTTCATAAGATGCCACACTTCGTCTCCACATCCTCTACAACGCTAAAATCATCGCCTTGGCTGCGCCTGACTATTTTATCCATGTACAACCCAAATAGGAGAGAGGACACGATGCTACCTTGGCGAAGACTAGTGCCAACGCTGAGAGGCATCGACTCTGACACAGCACCTGCTATTAGCAATATAGTGACTGGATGATTTGTAGCAATTTGCCATCGATCCCATATGTTCGCAGTAACGTCCACTGTTTGTTACACGGTCTCCGGTCGCTTTATCATGGCAGTCG